TGTTTTCCCTAGGAGCTTTCAGTTACTAGGGCAGGAAAGAGTTTGGGCTAAGATAGACAGAAGGCAGAAACAGCTCATAGTCTGTCTAAAGATTGACAGTTCCTCTCTGGGAAGGGGCGATGGCACATTGAACGCTGCCTGTTGAGTGATCTGTAGTCACTAAGACCTTTGCTCTCCCTTTATAGGAGAAACCATTTCTTTCCACGCTGAGAAACAGTGGATTCAGAAATTCAGATGTCAACCTGGAGAAAACAAAACCTTCAGTCCCCTACTGGGCTGTCATTGTGGCGGCCGTAGGTGGAGTCCTGGTGGGTTCTTTACTCATATGGGTTGTGTCAGGAAGAAGAGCCAAGAGGCACCAACGTGAGACTGATACAGAAAAGAATATTAAAACAACATCTTTGTAAAACAAGTGGAAGAAACGACTTTCTCTGCTGAGGCTGCTCTCTGGTGTGATGCAGGGAGCAGCAGAATAAGGACATGAATGAAGCTTCTCGGTTAGTCAGGGATTTTTGGGCCCAATCATCTTGATCAGAAATATACTGCAGAGTTAGCTTCTGGAGATCAGTCAAGTGGATGATGAAGTTTCAAGTGTTAAAGCTTTTCCTTCTGGGATGCAATTCTCTGTTTCATGAATATTACTGAGGATGTCAATTGCTTGCATGAAGTGAGAAAACTTGTCCGTGCATCTTGGCACCTTAATTGTGCATCTGCCCCCTTTTCTTATAAAACTGTGTATGGAAAATGTTAGATGTAAATCCAGGATTGCGACCTGGTATTCCCCAACAGCAAGGTAAGTGAGATAAAAATCAGAAGTTGCAATTTCATGTGTTTGTTAGATTCCAGAAAGACCATTGAGTTGAAGGTGCTAAAGTCGTTCTACATGGGAAAGTACAATGCAATGGAAACATTTTTAAGCCAACTTCTGAGCAACCTGGAACATCCATGTGGCATCCCTGGTGCAGTGCTGGGCAGCACAGCTAGAATAACCGCACCCTCTCTGCTGCCTTGGACTCCAGGCTCTGTCTGGGAATGGACATGGAGCTGAACCATGCGTGTCACTTCTTCTCCAGGGCTGAATGGCCAAGGGGCAGTCTGGTATCCTCCTGCCCACCACTGTACGGCAGCTGGTTCCAGAATGAATCTTCCTGTGAAGAAGGAATTTCTTCACTAGTGTGCAGTAGGGGGTCTAAACAAAAATGAAGTACCTAAATGTCAAAGTAACTTGGCTGAACCCTTCTCATAGGACCTGTGGCATGTTCAGGTGTCCTAGACTGGAGTGTCCATGGCTGTTCACCAAAGAAAAATTTGAAAAGTTTTTTCAAAATTCTGCTCAGGAATTCAGAGGAGATCGTTCCTGGAAATTAGGCATTCCTTGTTTTATATTTGCAGGTCAATTCATATGATCTACTACTACAGAACGTACTTCAGAGGTTTCCTGTGATCTTGTTTTCCAATATCTTTGTTATTTCCTATGTCAAATACTTCAAATTTAGATTTGATTCAAGCAAAAGTGTGGTTTCTACAGATGTGATTTTTTTGTGAGGTGTACTACATTTCCACTCCAGAAATGCAAATGAGCAGAAAATTAAAATGTTGCAGGGAAGAAAGTGTTCTGGGGCTCCTACATCTACTCATTATGCACACAGAAGTTATTCATACTCCTCCTTTTCCCATTTCACTCCTGTCATTGTCCTTCCTAAGGTACAAAGAGGTGGGTAAAATACAAATTGTACAGTCAGGTTTCAGGGGCTGTAGCTCCACTCACCCTACTTTGATCTGCACTCAAAGGCTGGGCTATTTCTGGTAGGGCTTTTATTTGCCTAAATCTTATCCACAGGTGTTGTGTCTGAGTTTGACTGGGAGCTCTACATGCAGCCCCAAAGGGGGACATATCTGGAATGCAAAACAGAAGCCTCTGCACCTTGCTTCAGTACAGTGCAAGCATCAGCTCAGCCCATCTCCGCTGCTCTTCCTGTCCCTGTCTCCACTGTGGGTCGTTAACTATCTGCCTGATATCCCAACTGCTGCTATTTATTTAGCTCAGTAAATGGAAGCAAACACAGCCTCAAATCTGCAACGCAGGAGATGAGATTTACTGTATTCCAGCCCATTCCACGGCACCTTCACCTTAGACACACTGTAAAATGTAAACTTCACAAGTGAGGACCCTGAGCAAATATCCCAGTAGATCATGAAGACTACAATCTCCTCTCATCCCAAAATAATGTTCTCATGAGTCCTCTTCCCTTCTGGTGTCTGGGATAGACACTACTCATGCAGCTCTTGGCTTGGGAAGGATTAAAAAGATACAGTTCTCTGCAGAACCTTTCACCGCTACTAGGTATTTCACAGGAAATTCAAAATAGTAGTTCAGTGCTGATTTACCTTTCCAAATCATGTGCATGCAGGAAGTGGGGTGCGGATCCTAGAGCATGCGTTAGAGCTACAAAATACTGCACAGTTTCTCACATCAGGTTTGTCCTGAGTAGAGATGGGTACAAGTGCCCTTGGGTTTCATGCTGGTACCTCCTGCTAGAATAACTAGTCACCCCCTTTCCTCAATTAGAAAGCTAAATTTTGTTCTGAGCTACTGAGAGCCAAAACATAAGAGCTGCAGCCAGTTGGGAAGTGAGGGGAAAGCTGGCTCTTAGCTATTCCAGCATCCTGAAGGATGTTAGAGTGTAAATAATTCTTGCATGGGAGCCAGGGTGACTCCACTTTGGACTGCACATTCCTAGTTCCCTGTGGCTTTCAGCTCTGTAAGGAATGCTGCCTTTACTGACGCTTTTGGGAACTGAGAAGCCAGCGAGCTTAAATCATATTGGCTCTGTGCTGCTTCTGCAGCAGGAGACTTTTCCTCTAGTTTTGTAACTGTGGTGTTAGCTCTACTGCACTACTACAGCAGGAGCACATAGGAGCTGGAGCATGAACTGGCAGGCTTCTTATTTAGTCTATGGAAATATCTTCTGGCACCTTTCTTGTGCCGACTGAAGTATGTGATGAACTGCACTGACATTTAAAAAACATCAAGAATCATGCAGTTTGCAGCTGCTCCACAAGCAAAATTATTTCCTTGAAGACATTACTGCTGCACGTTCCCTCTGTGCTCATTAAGAGGAGGTAACATTAAGCTGGAATGAAAGACAGATGATTAGATCTGGATCTCACTCTGACTGTATTCAGTGTCACGTTAAATCAGAAAGTAATCTATGCTTCCTATCTGTCACTTGTCTATTCCCTCTTTTTTTCTTTAATAACACGCCCTTGGTTTCAAATGACCTCATGGCATTTTTCCTCACTGGACGGCTGAATAGGCTGGATTGCCTACAGATACACCAAGGAAGAGAAGCTTAGGAGGAACTTCAAGTCCGTATGGAAAAATGCATGAAATGGATGCCATCTCAGCCCAGGATTTTGATTTGGCCAATGGTGATCTCACCCATCACTGAAAACTACCTCTTCTGTGTAAAGTGATTTCTTAACATCCTGAGAAAACAGGCTTTGTGCATTCTTCCTCTGAAGAAGAGCTACAGCTCAGCCCGCATGAGCAGTCACTGTCCAAAGGACCTTTGTGGGTACTGGCCTTGCTGCCCAGCTCGAGTTGTGAAGGGTGTTGGGGGTAGATGTTATGCTGTTGCCTGCTCTGGAGAAGTAATCTGTTCTTCAAACAGGGAAGTGATGGAGCCTGACAAGTGTTGGCAAATCGTTTGTCTGCAGCTTAGGCAGCAGTCAAGGTCACATTCTGGCCTCCTTTGTTGCTGCTGATGGACATGACCTCTCGTCATGATACAATGTCTGCGTTTTGCTTTGTAAGGTCAAATGGCACAGAAGATTTCCATCTAGGGTCAGTTTGCCCCAAAGTTCAGTTTATCTGCTCAGTGAACTTAGGGAAGAGAGGGAAAATTCAGAAAAAATCTGCACAGAAGAATTTTGTGGGTCTTTGGAGATTGCTACATGTTTCCTCCAGCCAGCTTCTGGATGGTGAGGTACAGATGTACTGATCACAAACAACTTCATTTTCACAGCTGATCAGTATGTTATATATTGGAACATGTGGGCAAGAGTTTCCTCACTTTAAGGAGTATTTAGCTAAGATATTGAGGTGAAACAACCCCACCCCAAAGACAGGGGTATGCAAAATACCTGGATTTTTCCAACTCTGCGTTTGCATGATTCATGTTCCCTCAGGTATTTAAAGAATATGCTGTTGGAGGACCACAGGTTTGAAATACTTGCTCTTTTTTACCCTTTTTTCAGAAGAAAGCTATCTGGGATTTTGGGAAAAGTGAAATGAAAGTCCATCCATAAAGTAGTTCACAAATTACTTAAATGAAGCAAGTTTTCTGGGTATTGTAGGTCTCAGAGCATGACAGGGAGGAGTGCTCCTGAAAACTATCGTTTTTAAACTATTTCTGTCCTGAGCTCACCGTTTGCTAATCCAGGGACCTGAGAAGTATTTCCAGTCACAGGAGTCGGTATCCAAAAAAGGGGGTGGTGGAATAGGGGAAAGAGGCTGGCACATTTTAACTTGGCACATGCTGAGTATCTTCCATTTAACTGTCAGCAACTGTCCTTGCCACCACTTAGCTTTTGTGGACATCAGATGTTACACCATCTTTTGCCTATTGAATTCCTTTCTGAGTTCAGTAGATTTCTCTTGGGCATGTGAAACCCAGTGCTACCAACACACACCTGACTGGGGGCAGGGCGGGAAGCTTGTTAGCTCTAGCTGCTTTTGATGAACCTCCTAGCACAAATCAAAAATTGTTCTGTTTTGATCATCAGAGAGAATGGTCACCCAAGGGAAAAGACAGAGAGCCCATGGCTTGAGCAATTCTAGAAAGAAAGCCAACAAAACACAGGAGGGCTTATTTAAGGGGTGGTTGGAACTACTTGTTGGCTAGAGGCTGGAAGAAGTTCCCTTATGTCTTTCAATTTCTGTGACCTATGTAACTGTCACTCATACTGCAGTCATAACTAGATTAATTTATGTGGATTTTACTGAGAAAACTTCA